ACACCTCTGATATTTTCTGTTCTACTATATAAGCGTCCAACAAGGTCGCCCGTTCCATCATAGTCTATCCGATCGTCGACCCAGCAGCAGAGCAGCAGAGCAGCAGTACCAGAGCAGCGGAAGCAGAGCAACGGCAGCAGAGCAGCGGCAGCAGAGCCTGGGGGCGAGGGCAACTACGCCGAGTGCGTTGGTGCCAGTGCTCCGGTATACTTGGCCGCCGTCATGGAATGCCCAGCTGCTGCAGTTCTCAGTCGGTCGTATTCACCGTCTGCTCCGCAAGGGCAACTACGCCGAGCGCGTTGGAAAAATGGCCCTTTTCAGGGCCACAACATTATCAAGAAAGAGTTTAACGTACGTATGCGAGTATCTGACACCTCTGATATTTTCTGTTCTACTATATAAGCGTCCAACAAGGTCGCCCGTTCCATCATTGTCAACAACATTAGCCCAACAAAACGGCCCTTTTCAGGGCCACCAAACTTTCGCAAAATAGTTATTAAGGAATATTCCTAAAATATAATATACACAATTAAGTACAACACATAACAGACGTTATCCAACGCCAACCCTGCGGTCGTATCTAGTAAACAACCCTTCCAACTTTTTGGTTTACTAATACAACCCTATTTCACAATCTGCACCACCTCTCTCTGTACCTCATTGGGCTGAATGAGGTGTGAAACTAATTTCTGACTTATCAAGAAATTCACTCGAGACCTAGTTCAACAGCAATATTTGCTTCAGGGGATAGAACAGCATCGAAAAGAGAACCTTGAGAAATCGTAGAATATATTAAAATGAAATATAATCATTACAATCCAATGACATTTGTGTGAATATATCTGACATTGAATATTGCACCAAAAGAGTAGGGAAGGGAATGGGGGTACTCGCTTTCAAGCTGCTCTTATGAGATTGAGTAAATGTTTTTGAAGTTACATTAGTTTTTATGTTTACTTGCATTGGTATAAGTGAAGGGTGGAAAGGATGCAGTAAGCCCCCCCCCCCCCCCATATCTAACTACGCCTTTAGGTTTTTGAATACATCTGAACATACCAAGTTTACAAGATTAGAAACACCGAAGTTATTGCAGTTTGAAGCTTTACTTCCACTTATATGAGTGAGGGGGCGGGGGTATAGTTAGCCTCTTAATATGCCTATGAGATTGAGCAAATATTTTTGAAGAATTCATCCTGAACATACCAAATCGATATTAACGGCGCCGGTGGTGTAGTGGTAAGCGTGATTACCTCTCACCCCAGCAGGCCTGGGTTCAATCCCAGTCGACGCCGCCGGGATGTTCTGAGGCATAACATCTCTGATCACGCCTTCCTTCGGATGGGAAGTAAAGCCGTTGGTCCCCGGTTCATGAGTTGATGGGTCGATAGGTAGGGTCCAGGTGTGGGAGCTGCCTTCCTGGCACGTCGGTAGCATTGGTGCTCAGCACGGAAAACAAGATCGACGGAAAAAACAAACCAAAAGGAAAAATACCAAATCGATAAGATAAGAAACTCCGAAGTTATTTCAGTTTAATACTTTACTTCTATTGATATGAGTGACCCCCCCCCCCCCCCTTCCGACTACGCAGATGAGATAGATCTATTGTTTTTGAATATTTCATCTGAACATACCAAACCGATAAAATAATCAACTTCGAAATTATTTCAGTTTGTAGTCTGACTTTCATTGGTACACCGGCAGTGTTGGCAGAAAAAGGGATTTTTGGCATTTACTTCGAAACATTGATCTTTGAATAGCAATAACTTTGTTTAGTGGCATTCTAGAACAATACATCCTTGAGCAAAGTTGTTAGGCACTTCTTGGGCGTAACGTATTTAGATGCGTGGTTTGTGCAAAATTGTGGTCCCTAGTAATAAAGATGCAAAAAAGTAGGTTTTCTCATACTAATTCCCATACAAATTTCAAACGCAATGCAGAAAGCCGGGTTACAACCAACCGTCTCCAAATTTTGCAAGTTGTTTGGGATCCCAAATGGAACCAGAAAACATAGTTCTGAAAAAATGATCATGATGACCCATCCTAATATACAGTTACATATATTGTAGCTTGTTAGAGGCTGAAATTGTCTGTTTTTTCAATGTTGAGTTTCAAGTTGAATTTCAAGGGTGAGGGTTACTTCCGTGTCCCGATCAGTTTTTTTGTGGCTGTCTTGCAATGAGCACTCATAGCTTTAGTTTTCACTGGAAATCCTATGTATGAGTGCTCATTGCAAGACAGCCTATATTACATGATATAAGCCATAGTCTGTACGGGGTATTAGGACCTAATGCAATGTTCAGCTTGATTTGTCGTAGGTTGTGGTATCATGCCTTCCATAAAACGCGTCCTTCTCGTAATCGAATTTTTCCTCAATACCAGGGCTGGTAGTGGGTATGCGATGTAATAGTAGTGACTTTAGTGACTAAAATTATGAAAATAGTGACCAAATAGTGACCTTTAAACAATTAAAAAGTGACCAATAGTGACATTTATTGATCGGAAAAATATTGTTCCGCTATTCCGATATTTTTCATGCTTTTTAAAAATAAAACAAATGATTTAAAGATCACATCAATTTGTTATAAAAAAATAAGTATGAATTGAATAAGCAAAAGCACGGTCCAATTCTAACCTCCATTTCCTCACAAGAAATTGTTATTAGATCGCGATTGAGGCACAGAGAAAAATGTTCCAAGTACCGATTTTAGACAATTTTAGGATAGCAATTTTTGAGGATCTAGGATATGTATGAAGCGATGCATTTAACAACATGAAGAACTGCAGTCCAGAATTAAATGTATATCGATCTAATTTAGCCATTAGTATATTAATAAAAGATCACTCTCTTCTATGTAGTCGCTATATTACTAACTGGTCGTCTTTTTACTTTGCTGTATTTCTCCCAAGAATAGAATCTTCTGTAACACCTCAAACATAGAAAAAGAATCATAACTCTGGGATCTAGACAGCTTTTCTAGATCGCAGTTTAAGAAAAAATCTCATTATTATGACCGAGATGGAATGATCACGGACATAAAACAAAATTGAATGCGTCTAGGAATTAAAATCTCGATAGTGAAAAATAGAGATTCAGGAATACATTTTAGAGTTCTTTAATTTTTTTTAAGACCTGAACCTGGATTTTTTTTGTATTACCGGAATATAAGTATGGGAAAATACAATACAATTTAATGGACTTAAAAAAGAACTCATGAACCTGTGACATGGTTTATTTTTCTCGATGTTTGGACAAATACTAAAGCTACCTTGGGGCTACAGATTATTCAAATTTCTGGCTTTTGAACAAATGTTGAGAGCTTGAAAATTTTCCTAGACCATTTTTTTACATGGAACCAACGGGAAAGGTAATTTTTACCTGAAAATTCAGGTAACCTCTTCCAAATAGGAATTCAAGAGGGTTCACGTGCCGCACATCATCATCATCATCATCGAAAGAAGTAATTGTATACTGTAAGCTGTTACGCCCTAATTCCCAGCTCTATCTTGAATTTTTTGTCATATTCGTAATTCAAAAATCGCCATAGCCTAAAATGCGCTTTCGTCGTTGTTGGACGAGTTGGAATTACCAGGATTCTTCATGTTTTCAAGTATAAGTGTTATATTTTTTATAAATTAACACTCATTTATAAATTAAAAATGAAATTGCAGAATACGGGAATTGATTATTCGAGGTGCTAAGAATCAACAATTGACGACCTATAAGGGTGTTACTATACGATTTATGTACTTCGAGATCATCAGTGCCAATTATAAAATAATGTAAATTAGTGTTTTTTTTCCTAGAATGCAATCATTTAATGACTCAAATAAATCGAAATATATATCTATACATAGTATATCACCAGTTTACTTTATCATTACAACAAAATCCAGTAACATTTACTTGCCAATTCCCGTACCGTGACTTTTAAGTTATGCCAATTTGAAGATCATCGGAAAGTCGGAACAAATTTTCGTGTAAATCAATTGATTTCTATGTGAAAATATCTACGTGCCTTTTCAGGTGCATTTTAAGTAACTTTTTTTTGCAGTGTAGGTTTGGATAACTTTCAAGATCTCAATGTAAAATAGCCAGAATATTAAATTTAGAACATTTTTCGAAATCTCTGAACATTTATGTCATTTTTCAAGATAAAAAAATGCCAAATTCAAGATAAAAAAAAATCATTCCCAGTTATTTTCAGCACACAGATTGGTAAAAGAAGCTTTTATCTAGCATCTGATAAAACAAACACAGCAAAAAACGGCTATGTGCTCAAGCTATTAACGAAAGAGAAAGTCGACGAAGAGAATCGATCAATGTTACTTAGGACCTAATGCAATGTTCAGCTTGATATGTTCGCAACTCTTCTTGTCAGATTTTACTTTGGGTTTTTAAAGTCAAATTCTTGACTCTCATCATTGGTCGTAAAAAGTGACTTTAGTGACTAAATTTGAAGGAATAGCGACTTTAGTGACTTTTTGATGAAAAAAGTGACTTTTTAGTGACTGACTTGAAAATAGTGACCAAGTCACTAAAAAGTGACCTGCTACCAGCCCTGCAATACGCAGTTGAGCTCGCATATCGGTTTTTGTGGCCAAACAAGCTTCAGCCATCTGCTTCGCAACTACTATGAATCCAATTCTATATTAAATGTTCTACTGGGGATCTTTTGTCATCAGCTTGACCGATGGATGATCGATTAAGGAAATTGTGAAACCCATATTTGTTGCTGTATCGCTATCTTCCACTATTCAACCTCAATCGCAACATTTTCCCACTGTTCCTATCAAATCCAGAAGCAGAAGTAAACGAGGAAGCCATCAGGATCAATTTTATTACCGTAACGAAAATCTTTATGAACCGAACGCGAGCAAAGGTCGATGAAATTCAAAACCATGAAATTTACACTTTCTTCCTTATATCACTCTCGGAAATGTATGACATGACAATCAACAACAGCATGCACTGATATCGCGTTATTTATTTATTTTTTCAGTGGTCCTAACGTTCATCAACTGTTGGGATGTGAAGTGGGCTACCGCCGTGCAGGACATCTTCACCTACGCCAAACTGTTGGCCCTGTTCATCATCATTGGCGCCGGAGCGTACTTTTTGTTCAAAGGTAGGTAATCCCATTTGGCGAATCACGCTTCCGTTGACACTTGTTGTTGTCGTCCTAAATGTGCATTACTTTGTAATTTTACGATACTATTACTCCGTCACTCTTCTGGGCCCATTGAAATGCAAATTAGACTGACAGGTGGTTGGATACAGAGAGTAGCGTCAAGCCAGTACTGGAACTTGTTATGGACAGATGTTGTAAACAAAGATCTACTTGATTCTCGCAGTTAGAAACAACGGTTAACTGCTATTTCACTCCTAGACGCGATTAATAGATGCAAATTTGAGTAGTATATTCACAGTTTATTGAATAAACACACTGATTTATCACTTCCAGTTTGAAATAATCTGATATTGCGACGCGTGCGTTGACTTGATGCCTCGCAGAGCTGTTTTTGCTGTTCCTTTGGTAATGCGAATTTGTATTTACATGAAGGTGTCAAGTGTCGCTAGAAAAGTCAACATCAAACTTGTAGGCACATTAGGGGCTGTCCACAAACCACATGAATTGAAGAGGGGTCAACAGCTTCTCATAAACTGCCACGTAGTTTGTGGACAACCCCTCAGTTTGTTGATGAAGGCAAAGTAATTCGTTCATATCGTTGAGTCTTTTCTTCGGCTAATCAACGCTTATCCCATCATCAATTTAGTTGAATTGAAGTAGAATAAACATCATTCAATCCAAATGATAACGATGTCTTTTTTTTTCCTTTTCAACGCAGGCAACACCGCGCACTTTACATTCGATAACACGAAAACCGAGGTCACATCACTGGCGCTGTCCTTCTACTCCGGCCTGTTCGCCTACAATGGATGGTTAGTGGCAATATCTAATTAGCTCCCGTGGGAATAAATCACAACTAGTGCTATTAAGCTTCTTAACATTGCGTTCCGTTTTGCTTCCTTAGGAATTATCTGAACTTTATCATCGAAGAGCTGAAGGATCCGGTCAAGAACCTACCGCGTGCGATTGCCATTTCCTGCACGCTGGTCACGGTGGTGTACGTTTTTACCAATGTGTCGTTCTATACGGTGCTGTCGCCGGAGGAGGTGCTGGGTTCGCAGGCCGTTGCCGTCACCTTTGCCGATCGGGTGTTTGGGATTTTCGCGTGGACCATTCCGGGTGAGTAGGCAGCACACATACACACCGTCTACACTAGTCAATTGATGGACAAGGAGCGTTCAGAATACCATATTTAAAATCGATGAAATATCAGTTAAAATTTCCCCCCACAACTGCATGGCCAATGAGAATAGCTCAGAGCGAGAGCCACTTCTACTCAGTACCTGCAGTTTTTATAAATTTCTCATACAACTGAGTAGAAGTGGCTCTCACTCTGAGTTATTCTCATTGGCTATGTGGTCTAAGTAAAGGTCACAGATATAAGTGCTAAATCATTGTCATTCTTCTTCTGAAATAGCGATTTAATATTAAAAATAGACATCAGAAAAGGTAATTGTCACCAAAAGATCGATAACCACCCGCGTTCTACCACACAACGGATTACAGCGTTTCATTCATAAATGCATCAAACCGTCACCCATCATATTAGTCTACACTCTACACGGCAAATGAGAACGACCCAAATTTGAGTTCAACTTAATCATAAATCACATAAAGTGCATGAACTCAGCGATGAGTAAATTTACTTCATGTTTTGCCCAGGAACAAATTCCCGAATATGAGAAGAGTAAAGATTGGATGAACTCAGTCTATTGGTACTGCTCCTAGACTGAGTAAAATTTTCTTAAATTTTCCTCATTTTCCGGCAGATTTTTCAGATTTTTCCCACAGAAAAACATGACGCAAATTTACTCATCACTGAATTCCTGCTCTTTTGGCGATTATGAGTAAACAAAACTCAAATTTGTGTCGCTCTCATTCGCCGTGCGTTAGAGTAAACTTCCATTAGCAGGACAAAGGCAAAACGGTAATCACGATTCCCTTTCTTTGCAGTTTTCGTGGCCCTGTCGACCTTCGGTGCCGTCAATGGCATTCTGCTGACGTCATCGCGCCTGTTCTACGCTGGTGCCTGCGAAGGTCAAATGCCGGAGATTCTCACCATGATTCAGATCCAGCGCCTCACGCCGACCCCGGCCGTACTCATCATGGCCCTGCTATCGATGGTCTACCTGACCGTGTCGGACATCTTTGCGCTTATCAACTACGTCGGTTTTGCCACTTGGGTAAGATTGTTTTATTTGTCTCTAGACGAATGATTCATTTTAACGATTGCAAAATTCCAGCTGAGCATCGGTGTGGCCGTCCTGTGCCTACCGTGGCTTCGGTGGGCCCAACCGAATCTGGAGCGCCCGATCAGGGTGAATCTGCTCTTCCCGATCTTCTACCTGATCGCAACGGTGTTCGTTACGGTCGTTCCGATGATCGCTAGCCCGGTGGAAACCGGCTATGGTTTGCTGATGATCCTGACCAGTATTCCCGTCTACTTCATCTTCATTGCGTGGCGAAACAAACCCAAGTGGTTCAATCACTCGATGGGTAAGTATTGGCGAAGCTGTCTTGATCCAAAATCCGACCAAATCCAAATCCCAGAGTTTTCCATTCGAAAATCTAACGCCTTGCTTATTGGCACTGTTTTAATTTTATTCCCTTTCCCTATACATTTTTCTGATAAAAAAAAACCTCACAAAAATCTTAATTGGCAAAACGCGCTTTTTAAAACAAACACCAATATTTCTTTTCTTTTTTCCATTTCTATATCTCTTTCGATTGAATCTCGGAATCCAACACACGCACACCAAAACACACCTCTATCTTCCGTTGATTTTATTCGTGCGATCCCCGATCCAACTCTCTCACACACACACGCGCACACCCTTTTGCTGGATTGTATCGAAATTTGCTTGCAGGAGGATTCACTCAGAGTTTGCAAAAGTTGATGATGGTGGTGCGGCCGAAGCTGAAATAAAAGCCCGAAAAATAAAACGGGAAAGAGAAGAAGTGAATGAAGATGGAAAAGGTTTTTATCGTCTTATTTTTTTCTGATAATCATTTATTAAACTAACCTAGTTTTATGAGATAAGTTCAACTAATGCATGCATGTCCTGTTATAGTTTGATTTCTGCTAGGGAAATTTACGTTCATATTTGAAGCAGCACGAGAGAAACAGAGCATCATTTAGGCATGATTTATGTGCCTAGGGATCATCCATTATGGTCCGCCATTTTTGATGGCTTATTGAAAAAATAGCGTTTAAACTCAATTATCTTGAATATGGTAAAAATTATCGAAAAATCCAGCTGACAATCTTTTCTAATTATGCCAAAAAATATTCTTTGAAAAGTTCAAAGTCGTAGAGGTTCCCAAATTTAAAAAAGGATTTATTGTCACCATTTCTGGAATCTTATTTCAGCGACTTTATGCCTTTCTCTCAAACTTTTTAGTTGTTAGAGAAAATGATCGAGAATTCCTTCTGGGAAAAGTTTTTAGTTTCCCTGAAGATCATTAAGCACATGTGTAGTCGTTTTAATTTTTGAGAAATTTGACTTCAATGTTCCAAAATGTTCCTTCAAGTGTACATGAATTTCTAAATTGGGTGAACACCCTTGAGATAATCCCCCTTATTCTGCGAGTCACGTGACTCTCTCTCACCGGTGAGGTGACAATTGTCACCTCGTGTGAGGTGACTCTCCATGCAAATCAAATGGAGAGTCACCTCACACGAGGTGACTATTGTCACCTCACCGGTGAGAGAGAGTCACGTGACTCGCAGAATAGGGGGGAATGCTTTGTCATTCTCTCTGAGTAAAAGATAAAATGGAACATAGACCATCGACGAGCAAGTACCATAGAGGTAACTCTAAGACCAGAAGGTCCCAAAGAATCGTGCTCAACTTTTCGGCTCAGCTCTGGTACTCTCTTCGGTCCCAAGCTAATCGATGCACCCCTCAAAACATAGGAAAATCCATGAACTCCTCATTTATCTGTCAAGCTTTCAAAGCGAATCAAAGTAAACATAGTGTAGTACTAGAATTTTGACTAGAATGGCGTACGTTAATCGATTTGGTTGGGGTAGGCTAGTCCAGTATAAGCCAATTTAAAATCGTTAGTTTCCACCGGTTTTTCTTCATGTCTTCCTCAGGTTTGACCTCCTTGGGATGCTGCCGTAGTGCCTGCTTCATAATAGCCCAGTGTTTTTTGATGGGCCTTAGTTCCGATGCGCTGGGGGGGGGGGTTCATGTCCTTGGGTACGCAAGTGAACTCGTTGGCTTCGTACCACTCCAGGACAACATTTGAATAGTGGCACGAAGCTAGATCCGGCCAGAAGATCGTAGGGCCCTCGTGTTGCTTCAACAAAGGAAGCAGACGCTTCTGTAGACACTTCTTGAGGTAGATCTCCTCGTTTACAGTCCCGGTAGTGACTGCTTCCTTACTTCCTCCGGAAAATCAAACTTGTGCTGGACGGTGAAAAACAGTAGCCCTGGAAGCTGCCGGAAGTCCACTTTTGACTTTAAATGATCTATATTTCTTGAATTTGTGTGGTTTACATGTATGAATTTTCAAGTGACGCACTAATAGAACATCCATTTTGACCGCATTTCTACTTCCATTCGATGCCCAGAGTTTCGTAGTAACGTTTAATCACACGACTCACCGTTGACTGCACGACTCCGAGTTGTTTTCCGATGTCCCGATGAGAGAGTTGAGGATTTTCCAGGTGCTTGCGCCAAATAAATTAGCGACGTTGCTTTTCGGGTCACGCCATTTTTTCCAACCTTCGCAAAATTGACAGCGATAAAAATTCAGTGTAAACAATACACTCTAAACTACTTCTACCCAAAATTTCAAGAGAAAACACCCAATGAGTTATTTTCTACAGCGTTTTTTCTGTGATGCAATGCTGATGTGGGACCTAGTGTGGGACACCCTTTATAACCCGGCATTGCCGCTTTAGACTGAAATATATAATAGTCAAATTGAATCTCCATTCGCATGAGATGTTTCAAAAGAACTTGAGACTATTCTGTGAAAATTTCAGCACATTTGGAGCATTGATTTGCATGCACCGGGGCAATGTGGAAAACGGTTCTGCTAATTTTATTGTTTTTAGAAAACACGCAGCTTTGCAATTTCTATTTGAAATTAGTGATATGTTAAATTAAACCTAATTTCACGTGAGTTGTTCAAAAGTTAAAGATTTTTCTATAATTATTTCATCATATTTGGAGCATAGACTTTCATGTATCGGGTTTTATTTATAAGTCGAAGGGAACCTCCATTCTCATGAGTTGTTTCAAAAGTAGTAGTGTGGATATTTTTAATTTGAGCCAAGAAATCATCAGTCTGATAATGGTCAATGGTCAATGGAACATGGTTGTTTTCAATGTCATGCTGAATCAAGTGCTGAACACTAAATTTGATCACTAATCATCATTTCATCAAATTTTCCATGTGATTTTACGTCTAGCATAATAATTTTTGGCTGAAGTTACATTCTGATCACTTCTCCGAGGATACCCAGAACATGTGTGTGCTCTTTAGGCTAAATGTGATCAAAAATGATCTGCTTTTGAAGTCTCAAACCAGCAGTGTTCTGAAAATCATTCTCAAATCTCATTCATTGAGCCTCCCTGCCAGAATAAACTCGCATGCGAATGTGGCAAACAAAATTCACGCTTGAGATTCTCATGCATATTCACGCACTCACACTCACACCGCTGAAAAATCATTCCAGCTTTAAACTTATAAAAACCACTCAAACGTCAATTGATATCATGCCTATGCATGTTGTGTTAGTTGTTCAACCCCTGATGCACAAACAATGAATAACGCCAAAATATAAAGCAATGCATTTTTGAACCTGAAAACTCATCGGTGATTTTTGCGACGTTGAATTTTGCAAGCCAAAACTCATAGGCGCCTAAACTCATGCATAAAATTTGAGTTTTTCCAAACACTGCAAATTAGTTTTACTCAAAAAAAGATTCTGACGTCTTCAAAGGCACTCGGAACATTTCGGATGTGGTCATTGGGATCTTGGCCAGGGCTGACAAATGTCATTTTCAATGACAGATTTCAAGCGATATTTACAGAGATATTTCTGTCACTTGATTTTTTTTGTCTTGACAGAACGTGACAGTGTTGTTAACATTGCTATTACTATCTCATTTATTAATATTATTGTTACTTGTACCTCGGAAATCTTAAACATACATTCACTCTACCGATTACATACTGTTGCTTGCCATCTAAATCAGTTAAAAATGTTGATGCCAAAGCCGTATGACACCTTGACCTCAGACTTTAAGAACATCTACTGAAATTTAAGAAAAAAACCCCTCTTTCCTCTTTTCGACCGGTTTTTCACTTTATGTAAGGCTTGTCATAAGCGAACCCCACCCGACAGAAGTTTCGTCAATAATTCCAGATAGAGCTGAAATTAGGACGTAACAGCTTTTGTAAACTTTGACTTCTCTCGATGATTTCTAGGAATTTATGGCACGCCCCCGCAAGCCAATATAACCATCGGGTAGGGGAAGATTTGGGCGAGCCTTGACTTTCTAGTAATCATCGAGAGAAGTCATTGTTTACAAAAGCTGTTACGCCCTAATTTCAGCTCTATCTAGAATTCCATCAATATTTGATTAATGAAAATTAATTTTTTCCCATGTGGTGGTTCCCTCCTCAGGGTGTAACGTACCAATATAACTAATGGGCGAGGAGGAAGTAGGAGAAAGTAATCTGTTCTACATTTCTTTCAACGAATTTCAATAAAATTTGCCTAATTTTCTCGAATTTGTTTTGGATAAATTCGATTCGAATGAATGTGTTCGAATTATCGAGCATTATGCTGATATTATTTTTAGTGTGTAGTGTGATGTGAACTGTCACTTCCTGAGCACCTGTGATTGTTTCACCCTTCAACCTTCAAGTTCCAACTCTGGAAGCAACGAAAATATCTGCACGGAGGACTGGTGACCTAATTGACTACTGGCGTTGATGGCCAAACGTGACCATAGATGCCGTGTCAATTCTTATGTTCACCGGATGCCAGGGTTGTCCAAATCGTAGTCCGTGATCTCGAAGCGACTATACCCAAGTCAAAGATGAATGCAGTTCCTCTTTTTTAAATATTTCTAGAAGACTTCCTTTACATGATGGTTATGTTGGTTTGTGTGGCCGTGCCTTGATTTCCTAGTAATCATCGAGAGAAGTAATTGTTTACAAAAGCTGTTCGCACTACTTCCAGCTCTATTGGGAGATTGCCGTAAAAGCTCGACACAGATGTCGCTACTGCATGATGATGATAATGTTGACAGACTGCATATAAAATTCGTGACAATTAGCGTTAAATCATAATTTTTATCAAGCCTGTGAAAAATCCTTCCAATATAACATTCGAATTAAAGAAGAAAACATTTTTAAGATCAGACTGATGTGCATCTTTGACTTTTGCAGATGAACTTTCATAAGATACATTCATTTCATTTCGCGGCTCCATCAATGCTGCATCGTAAATATGATGTAAACAGAAGTAA